TCTATCCCATAATGTATCCAGAGTAAGAGTAGGAGGAAGGAACATTGCTTTTACTACCACCAACTCAGATGTAATCATACATATCTTGGAGAATATAAAAACTTAAAGGAGGACATAAATGGGCAAAAGGCACCAAATATAAACCAATATGACTAAACCTGTTGTTAAGTATTGATTGAAGGACAGAAGGTTCTCCAGAGTTGATATATAGACTCCATCATTATTTATAATACTATCTATACTTTGATCTCAACTTGAGATATTTTACTAAACCAAGAATCCTCATTGGTGTCTCACTCACAGCCACTCCATCTGATGCAATGAACAGCAAGCAAGGGGAACTGAGTTCTACTTGCCCTACCTATAATTAGGAAGTGGGGTGTAGAGTAGTCAGCTTCAGTAAGTATTTTAAATGCCCCAAATTAATAAAATGGCAACTGGCTTGCCTTACCTACTGTGTCACAAGGTTGTCATGAGATTCAAAATGAAATCAATTGAAAGTAATCTCTGTCCAACCAAGTGACCGTGTATGTGTGTGTTCGTGTGTCTCTTGCTCTCTAGACACTATCCATGCAGCAAGAAGTTTAGAAGCAATGGAAAGAAGTCCTTCTTTCTCCAGAACAATTCATTTTTGGTTTAAGATAGAATGCTTTCTTTTTTTAGTTGAACACATGAATAATGTATCCCATATTCCATCATGAGTGAAAGCCAAAATTTAGAAGACAGCTCTGAAGCCTTACTGGGTTTGGTGGCTCTCCTTAGTTCATAGAGAAGAGGATTGAGATGCTAGCAGAGTAGACACAACTGTCTGGGTTCCTGCATGCTGAGGGATTTCTGAAGCAATGGGAATTTGTGCAGTGCTCTGGTCTCCTCATGCTGGTTTTATTTCACACATCAAACTTTTAAGCTCAAAAGATAAATATTTTGAATTTGTTTCAATATTATGATTTTTAATGTTTCACTTTTATTAACATCTTTCAAGTATTAAATTCTAGCCTTTTTTTAATGCCTCCAGTCTTGGGTTTGATTCTTTTGGAAGTCAACATTCACTTGTGTTCTATCATCAAACAAAACTGGTAATCAACTATATTACTGGAAGCCAAATAGCCAGGCTTTTCTTCTTTTTTTATTACACCACCAAAAAAAAAAAAAAAAAAAAAATCATTTTCTTTAGATGAGTAAAAAAAAGTAGTTTTAACAAGAGCAAATTTGCTAGTAATTAGATGAACCAGTCTTATGTCTTCCAGCACTCGGAAGCATGAAATTCATCAGAACTCTCATAGCATTAATTAAAAAGAATTTATGTTTTTTTAATAAAATGCTTCATGTTTTAGCTCCTTTATTCCTCCACCAAATGTGATTATGTGGGGGCTGAAGGGAATTCAGGTTAATATGTTGACACACTTAACAATGCAGGGTCATGTTGCACAATACGCTTCACTGGTTTGGTTCAGTACACCCCCTGACAGGGCCTAATCATCCCCTGCCCTAAAGGCAGAGGGAAAGAGAGGATTTTAATTACTGCTCTGTATGCAAGTTTGCCACCATTAAATTGAGACATAATTAGGCCTCTGAATTTTAATAATTGTCCTTGCTAATTGGGCAGACAAGTGCATTATGCAGCATGGCGTGATTAGATAATTAGTATTTCCAAATGACAAAATTGGGCTCTTGATTACAAATTCTACATGAAGGGGGAAAAAGGTAGCAAGCAGATCTTTACAAGTCTATTAAGGGAGAGTTTAGCGATGTTGGTAATTTAAAGTCCATTAGGAGGCAACATTTCATTCTCAGAGCTGGGGGTCTGGGCCAAGGGCCTCTGGCCAACTCTGGCTCCCACTTAAGTCTCTTCCCCAGGGTGCTGTGATTTCTCTGGGGTCTGTTCATCTCCCCTATCCCCACCCCCATCCCAAGCCTAGCAGTCCTCACTGACCTTGGGTAAGGTCTCTTTGGCTACCACACCAGATGGCAGGTGATAACTCTGAAAAAGAAATCATGGGATGTAGGAAGGGTAGAACAGAAAAGGGGTAACCTACCTGGTCAGGGTATATGTATCTATTGTGTCTTTCCTTCGCAAGCAGCTGTTCTTTCATTCTTCTTCCAGAATTCACCACTGTCATTGTGTCATTAGCTCCTCTAAAATCTTTTTGGAGGAAGATCTTAAGTCAAAATCTTAAATTTTTGAGGTATTATGTTATTGGGGTAAAAAGCATGAGCACTGGAGACTGATCTGGGTTTGAGATCATCACTTACTAGGAGTATGCCCTTGGAGAAGTTACTTAATTTTGCCAAATCTCAGTTTTCTTATTGGCAAAATGAGGAAATTTCCCCCATAAGTTTGTTGATAGGATTAAATAAGGTAATGCATATAATTTAAAGCACAATGCCTGGCCCAGAGTAAGTGCTCAATATTAGCTATTAAATGCAAATTAAATCAATAACTTTAGAAGCTAGAAGGTAAAGGTGCTGGGTCTGGTTTTTTACAATGCTCTTTACTAACAAGGGAGGCAAGGGTCCCTGGCTCCTTTGCTTTCTGAGAGAGGAACATGGTGCTCCACTTATGCTGGGGGAAGCCCAATGGCAACAGCTGCCCTTACAGCTCAAATGCCCAACCAGATTTCTGTCCATTCTTGAGAGGCTGGCATTGCAGGCAAGCCTGGCCATTCAGAAATCATGAGGGTGGTTAACCTAAGAAGAATGTGGTGTAAACTCTGTATCTTACTCCACCTTGTGACTCACTCTTCACAGATGTCACTTTATTGCCCACAGAGGCATACTTCTGGCTGCTAAATTTTTCTCACAATAATGAGTAGGTTGGGCTTTAGAGTTAGGGTTTTTCAGGCAAAAGGAAAAAAAAAAAAACAGAATCCTTCTAAAAAATGATTGATAGGTGGTTGGTGGATGATAATATTATGATAGCTTGTTACAGGAAACTCAGAAGTTCTGGATGTATTTCCATGTACAGTCATTAAGGATGACTATAAGGAAAATAACAATGCTTCCATAGCTTGGTCAGGACAGTCTACCAGACTGAATGAGAATTTCTTATGACTTTCTCAGAGTTTGTGTGTTCTGGCAGAGATTCCAATTCAGAATGCAGAGTTCTCTCCGTGGGTAAACTTTATATCACCATGGCATAATCTCTACAGTACATAACACCTAAATAACAGAGAGAGAAAAGGCGCTTAAGTATAGAATGCATACATTCAGCTAGAAGCTTAGAAGGAAGAGTAAGATACTGTTCTCCTGGATGAGAGTAAAAACAGAGACGGAGAAAGAGTGAGTGATCTTTATGCCTGACCTCTAAGGAAACCACTCCTCTTGGGGCTGTCCCTCTGGTGTTCACAGGGGTCACATGAGTGACCTGGAGAGTTGATGCAGGGCTCTCGCCTCACTGCACTTCCTAGATGCCAAGAGGAAATATCACAGTGGGCAGAGGGTGGGAGAGGTAATAACTGTCATAAGATTTTCTTCCTCGCCACACAATGCTAGAGCTTCTCTCCCGCTCTTTTGAAGAAGTGCGTTTATGACTGATCGCTCAACACCTTGTTGGTTCTGATTGCAGAAAACACACCTTATAAATATATGATAACCATCCTGTAATAGAGAGTGTGACAATTTACTTCACAGTGCGTTTCGGGCTGCTAATTGATCGTTTCAGTCCAAGGACGATTTGGAATAAATTATAGCCATCAAAAGGATATCACAGCTCATTTTAGGGGAAGGCGTTCTAAGTCGCTTCGCGTATGTCTCCGGGAGAGCGCCGATTGCACCCGCGGGCTGAGAGGAGGGGTGGGAGCAGAGAAGTAGGAGGCTGGCGGGGCGGGGTCGGCGGGACGGGGCGGGGCTGGCAGTGGCGCGCGCGTGCGCGTGCGCGTGCGCGCGCGCGCGCGGCAGCTGCAGGTCCGAGGCCGGACGGTAGAGGCCTCCCTTCTGAGGAGGCGGCGTGGCGGCAAGCTGCTAGGGTTCCGCTCTCGAACCCGTGCGTCCTTCCCGACGAGGTCCCTGCGCGGCCCGACCCAGTGTGAGTATTCCCCACCCGCTCTCCTCCTCCCGCAGGCGGCAGCGCCTGTTCCTTTGAGGTGAGAGTGCCCGCCGGGCAGAGGGCCCTGCTTGGGGCGGGAATGCTCACGTGCGCAGGGGCTCACCTCCGGCTCGGCGCTTCCCCTCAGCGGGGCTTCCCCGGGCGCGGGTGGGGGTAGACGTGGTAGCGCGGGACGCTGCTCTCTGAGCTCCGGGAGCGGGATTAGCGAGGCTTGAAGTCGCCGCGGCCCTGTTGGGGGCTTTGTGTGCAGTTGGGGCCCGCGGCTCGGGTAGCTCTGCTTCTCACGCCGCAGTTGGGGAGGACGGCTTGTGACAGACCCAGGTTCGGGGCGGGGGGTGGGGTGGGAGGGGAGCCTTGCCCACCGCAAACCCGAGGAGAGGGCGGGTCGGGCCTGTTGGCGACGCGAGGCCGTGCCCCGATCTCCAGTTCTCCAGGTCGCGAGGGCGGCGGGTCGCGCCCTGGGGGACGCGGCGAGAGCGGCGGCCCGAAAGCCTAGGTGACGGGACCCTGTCCACCCCTCAGCCGGGTCTGGAGCCGGTCGCTCCCCCAGACCCTCGTCTTGTTTTCATTTCCCAGCAAAGTGTGTGCCGTTGTGTGGTGGTCATGGAGAGGGGAGACCCAAAGGCCTAGCCCTGGATAGGATTCGAATTCGGAAAAAAAAAGTTTTTCCTACTTCTGTCGCAGGCATTTGCCTTTCTGGTCTTCCCGCCTCGCCCACGAGACCCCCAGGCAACTTTCATTTTCCTCCTAAGTTGAAGCGTAAGAAAGGTTGAGGCCCTTCAGCTCACACGTAACACACCCCTCCATCCCAAGTGCTCCAAAGTCGGGGCTTCACGCGGTGTCCTTAGTTGTTTGGTCCTGTGTCACGCTAATACATTATGTCAATCTAGGGCACGGATGTTTCCATGCAGGTGATTTTGACAGCAATCATCATACCAAGCTATTATGAAGTGTGATGTCAGTGCGTTCTGGAGGACGGATAATATATAAGCCAGTTCTTGACACGCTATCTTACAAGGAAACATCTGAGACCATCAGTAAGAGGCATTTTAATTCACACACCAAAAATATTTTGTTTGGTTGACATCTTTCAAAATGCTGAAAGAGGTAGTAGCATTTATCATTTTGTAGGTATTTATCAATATACTCACAGAAGTCCCCCTAGGAAGGAGGAGGGTTTTGTTTTATTCCTATTCTATATAAACCGAGGAACAAAGATGTTGTGTCCTACCAGATAGTCCATAGTAAGTCAGTGAGAAGGCTCTATTTATGAAACCAAACATCTTGTAAAACTGGAATAATTGGAAAAGTGAGGAAACTAGTTGTGTTTATACCTTTGTTGTGAAAGAAAATCATCTGCTAGCTTTAATGAGAGACCATATGCTTTTAGCACAAGTGCTGGGTGTGTGAAATGATCAGTTTATCTCAGGTATGGAAGTCAGGTAAACATTCTGTAAAACTCCAGTCTTAATGACTACTACAGCTGTCCTTTGGCAGCTACTTTTATTCCAGTGGAGCTATACATTCTCTTTAATTGTCAGTTAATGTATACTGTATACAGTCATATTCAGAAAGTTGTGTTGTCGAGAATTTGGTTGATCTGGATTTTATGAGAGTTCAGTTTTGCTGCTATGATTACAAAAGCTGTTAAGTTCTAGAATATGGAAATGGGTACAAAAAATTCAAGATGTTATAAGCTAAAATCAGGATTGCCCTATATAGTTCTACAGATTTTGTGCTCCACACTCCTTGAAATATAAAAGAATTATACTCAGTTAAGAAACCAAACTTCACCTGTATTCTATTTTGTGAGCAAGGCATTTACCATTAACAAAAAATTCAGTGATCCTTAGACTGTAGGTTAAATGTAACCTTTGGGTCAAAACACTTGTCATTTTTAGTAGTTGGTTGTGAACATAGACCCCAAAGTAGATGTATCATAGAACCACTATATACTGCCATAAGTTAACACTATACTATCAAAATACAGAATCATGAAACTCCTCACCCAGTGAATTTAAACTCTTATGATACTCAAGACCAGAATAAGGGAAAGGGAATAGAAAGACAAGGAAAAGAGAAAGAGGGAGAGGGTAAGAGGTAGTTCATAGGGTTTATGAATTATAATTAGTTGAATTCATTTGAGAGAAGAGTTTATAAGTGCTTTCCAAAAACCACCAGCAAACGATTTAAAATCTGAGGGAATAGTTCAGATTCAACTCCAGCTGAGACTATATGGAGAACCAAGAAAAGCAGAAAGAATGTAATTAGCTGAGTAGGATTTTTTATATCAGTTCTGGTCTAATACCTCAGTATTATATAAAGGGCCATGGGATCATTAGTGATTAGCAGGCATCCAGACCATAATGATGAGAGATCAAGGCCAGGGGACAAAGATGAAAGGGCCTTCCTGCTTAAACTGAATGTTGCAAATGCTGGTGCACTTATATAAGGAAGGTCAGCCAGCAGATAAAGAAATAGGGCAACAGTCCCAAAGCAACAAATGTATTCTTCTCTTTCACCCCAGAGTTAGATTGGATATGGAGATTAACCAAGCTTGAGCTGACACAAAAAGAATGTCCTTATTTCAGCCATTTATAAGGCCTGGAAATTTGAGTCCTGTCTGCTTTAATGAGCTTAGATATTGCCCAGAAATTGGGGAAAGGGACCTGCTGGGTCCTGGATACCAGGGTTACATAACCAACTAAAAGGTCAGTGAACAAGGTGGACAGATCCAATTCCAGATATTTTCTGGGTACACCCTGGATTGTTTGTCCATTAGGTAGACAGAACAGTTCCTAAATTTTATAAGTACAGGGGAGTATTAGGTACTTAGTATACCCTCAATAGATACAATTGTGGAAAAACAGGTGACATGAGGTTAACCTTTTTTTTTTTTTTGAAATGGATAGTCAGTCATGTCTGCTCATCTTCTATAGATTTAAGAACCATCCAAATATTTCTTTCTTGAGTCTACTAAATTTTTGTCTATAGTGTTTATAGCTTCTGGATTGGCTCTTAGTATGGTCCTAGGTAGTTGTAATAGAACTAAGTGTGGTTGGTATAGTTTGAAGTCCATCTCTTTCATAGAGAGGCTCTTGGTTTTAGATTTACAAAGTTTACATGTGGACCCAGAATATAGAAAAGGTGGGAAATTGCCTGAGTATTGGGAAGTATCATGTGGTAGAAAGAATCCTGGGCCAGGAGTGGGGACCAGGTTTACCATGTGCCAATTGTGTTACTTGAAGCAAATTTTACTTTCCTTACAGGCAAAAGGTATATTGTAGTAATACTCATTGGGTCTACTTCAAAAGGTAGTTTTGAGCCTCATCTGAGATGGAGTAAATGGAAGGACTGGTTTATTAAGTACTGTGCAAGTACAGGATTTTGTGTGCCACTACACAGGTTTTGTAGGTAAAGGTGTAGGGGTCATAGGCCTTGAGCTGTAAAGATATTTAAACCAAAATATAAATGAAGGTGGAAACCTGCCTTTGGGAACTTGGGAGAATAGAGTAATTTTAGCATGGATACTAGAGATGAGTGAATAATACAGTCATTATTCCTCCTTTCTCAGATTCATAAGAAGTAGTACTCTGTTGTCAGAGTATTCTCTTCGGCAAGAGATTGATTGATTTCTTGATTTGAGAGGAAAAAAACATGTGCACATGCGGGGAGGAGGAAGGGGGAGAGAGAATCTTAAGCAGACACCACGCCTAGCATGGAGCCCAACGTGGGGCTCAATCTCACCACCCTGAGATCATGACCTGAGCCGAAATCAAGAGTCTGATGCTTAGCCAGCTGAGCCACCCAGGCACCCCTGCAAGAGATTCTTTAAAAATTGCTTCCTAAAGGGCGCCTGGGTAACTCAGTTGATGAAGTGTCTGACTCTTGGTTTCGTCTCAGGTCATGATCTCAGGGCCATGAGATTGAGTCCCACATTGAGCCCCCCAACGAGCCCCCCATCAGGCTCTGTGCTCAGCAGGAATCTGCTTGAGTTCTCCCTCTCCCTTTCTCTCTGCCCCTCCCCCCATTCATGTGCGTGCACTCTCTCGCTCTTTCTCTCTCTAAAATAACTCTTAAAAAAAATAAAATAAAAATGCTTCCTGTTGGATATAAAGAAACCTGCCAGCTTGCTTAATATTATCAAGTCCAGATCTTCAGCATTGGCACTGAAGGCAAGCTCTATATGTGGGGAAAAGTAGCCAGACTTCCAGGCCTTGATTCTTATACTCTCAGAAGTTCTTCTTAGGGATTTCATTAATCCCCATTGCTGCCTTCATGTCTTAGGGGAGGACAGAAGCTGGCTGGAGTTCCATATATTGGCTTAATTGGTCAGCTGTGAACATTTTTAAGCAATTGTTATTCTTCCCACAACAGCAACCCATTTTTACTGCAGAGATAGCAAAATGTCCCCCCAGTCCCTTACAGGCCATTTAAAAAAAGTTAACACTCATATCTTTTATTTTTTCTTATTTTCCTCTGTGTATTTAGAAGTTACCGAAGCTGCTGGGGAAAGAACAGTTTGCCTCTCTATCTCACAGAAACACCAGTATAGATACAGGCAGCATCATTGGCTCCCACCAACATGGGGCAATGGCTCTAAGCAAGGTTGGGAGAATGGTCTGGGACCTTATGGGGTGGTATATACTCATCTTTTCTTCTGTTGAGTTTCAGAATCTACCCTACTAAAGAGTAAGAAACAGTGCCCCTTGTCTGAAGTCATTGGTTAGAGGGATGTTTTCTGGAGGCTTGTTGAATATCTTTGACACAGTGATGCTTCATAAATTCACATTCTGTGAGGCACAGTGTATTTGAGCCAGTATAGTACATTGGGGCATTTGATTCAGACAGTCTGTGTTTGCATATCACATCTGCTGCTTACTTGCTGAGTGGCTTGGGCAAGTTTCTTAATCTCTCTGAGCCTCAGTTTCTTTATCTGCAAAATGGCAATAATAATAGTCTACTTTAGGATTGTTGTACCTGAGGTGTATGCTCAGCAAATGGGAGCTATATTATTAGGCTCTGGAGAGTGAGGGAGGAGTATAAAGAAATTTCCATTTTCAAGGATATTACACTGTGGTTGGAAGGGACTGAGTAAAAGAAAACTGACAAGACTATACAGGGCAGAGAATAGGCATGACATGTAAGTGCTGCAGATAATCTGCCAAGGACTAGGATGATGATGAAAGATTTCAAGATAGAGGTAGGAATTTCTGGGATTTACAGTCTGGGTGGGATTCAGATATGTATGGTGCAGTTGAGAAGCAGTGATCAGAACACACACTACAACAAGGGTGGGAGTATGCCAGAGTGGAAGGTAAACCAGCTTTTGAGCCAGATAGATAAGCATAAGAATCCTATCTCTGCTGTGAGATTTTGCTTGGACAAGTATCTTAACTTCTTTAGTCTCAGTTTCTACAACCTTAAAATGGGTATAATCATATCTCATTTAGTTGAAGGGATTAAATAAGATGATGTTTGTAATGCCTAACATGGTGCCTGGCACCTCACAAGTGTTCAATAAAATGAAGATAATCCGTGTGGTATTTTCAGAGGACAATTGGAGGGCTGTCTGTCTGAAGAGCTGTCTTGCCTTGTGTAGGCTAGTAGTGGGAAACAAACCAGAAATGTCCAGTTAGGGAGAGTGGGGAGGAGGCATAAGGCCAATTTAAAGAGCTAGGGCTGTTAGAGGCTATCAGAGCTATCCAGGGCTTTCCAGTAAAGTAGGGGTTTAGGGTAGTTAATATCAAGGCATTCTGAAAGCTGTTTTGGAGGAAGGAGGAAACTCACTTTGCACATGTAAGGTGACAGGGATATAGATTAGGGATAGTGGAAGGGTGATCAGACCTGGTTGATGTGGTCTCTTTATAAAGTTTCTTTCGTAGAAGGAGCTAAGGACTAAACAGTGTGGAGTTAGAGAGTTGTTTTGTTTTGTTTTGTTTTGTGTGTAGACTCCTAATATTTAATGTCAAGTTGACCAGAATAAAATTAGTATAGTTCTATAACTTTGGAAAATAGAACTCACTCAATATTCAGGGACTGTAAAAGGTGGGAAGTAATTTTAATGCTAAATACCCCTAGAACTTGCTTCAGTTCAAATAATAGCCCTTTAAAAGAGCTCCTTTCCCCTTCCTGTTAATGAAGATGAGTGTGTGCCTTTCAGTGGTTTCCAGGAAAGCATAAGTACAGATCATTTGTAGCCATATGAAGTTTGAGGTTAGGACTGTAGTGGCATTGGGTTAAATGGGGAAGATGGTGCTAGCAAAATGGTAATTTTGATGACTTTATTTGGTGATATTGTGATTTGGATGAGAAAATTCTGTCCTTTCCTAAATCATTAAAATGATTTAATTAAAGACACAAACCTAGTAAATGGTTTTGGATACTAGGAGATTTATTTATATTGTCTCTCATTTTCTCCTCATCTCTCTCTTTTTTTCTGCCCATTGTAGTTTTGTAGTGGGAGAATACATGGTAGACAATTGCATTTCTAAAGGGAGTCACACTCATTATATGGACACCAGTTTTTTAAAACCTGAGGAAATTGCAACCACCTATTACTGTTCAATGGTAGGCTTTAAACATATTAAGCAGAAAAGGATAACTGACCTAATATTGATTTCATGAATTTTTCTGTTCTCTCATTTGGGGGGCAAGGGGCAGCATGGTGCTAATAGCTCTGGGGTGTCTGGGGTGTCATAGTAGTTAACTATAGCCAAGGATTGCTTCCCTTGGAAGGAGGATGCACATGCCAAGAGAATTGTACACAGTGGTTGGCAAACACAGGAAGGGGACAAATGACAAAGGAAAACATAGGCCCTGTGAGGTTAGAGGCAAAACAAGCTGGCTTAGTCCTGTTGCTTCTGAGCAGGGGCAAGGAGTGTATTTCTTTTCTCATCTCTTGAGTTTATTTAAATTATCTGTTGGTTTGGGGGTGGAAAGAAAGTATGATGTTATAAGGCTGATTAATATTAAGATGCAAACATGCAGATTATATCCAGCTCCTGACACTCCTTTTCACTCCAGCTTAGAAACCGAAGACTACAAAAGAAACCTGTTCTAAGGGAAGGAAGGAGAGAAAGCAAAAGACATTTCCCTACTTTTTTAACGAGAGGTGTTTTTGGAATATATATTATTTTTGGATTTTTGGTATCCATGCCACCCTAACAGATTATCTAAAGTAGCTCCTGGGGGCGCCTGGGTGGCTCAGTCGTTAAGCGTCTGGATTCAGCTCAGGTCAGGATCCCAGGGTCCTGGGATCAAGCCCCACATTGGGCTCCCTGCTCAGCGGGAAGCCTGCTTCTCCCTCTCCACTCCCCCTGCTTGTGTTCCTTCTCTTGCTGTGTCTCTGTCAAATAAATAAATAAAATCTTAAAAAAAAAATAAAGTAGCTCCTGGCTGAAAACTGCCAGGGGGTTTGAAGCAGGGGTGGGTTGCATTGGGCAGGGGTATTCAGGGTGCTGTTGTCATTAATTTTGCCAAAAGAGCCTCATCAGAGACCAATTCTCCCCTCCTTGGTGGGTGGCACTGAGCCTTGGAGAGGGCCTCCACACAGATTCCAGCCTTGCCCCCTCCTCCAACCCTTCTGCCTTCTGCTCCTGCAGTGGGACTTCTCTCTCTCTTCCCCTTTTTTTCAATTAAATGAATTAATTACCAGGCATTTAACTTTTTGCCAGACTCTTTCATTATGCCCAGAGTTGTTGCTGAGCGGCAAAGGGAAGTAATAACATTCGCAGTGAGGGGCAAATCCTGTTAATGAACAAATTAAAGTTCAAACAGTGATTCAAGTTCACAACCTCTCCGTGGCTCTTCTCTTTTAATAAGAGTTATACATGTTACTTTCCTGCTCTTTTCTCTCTTTTATTACTTTTTAAGCTTTTCATCAACACTGCCGGGGCATATTTGAGGCTCCCAGCCTTTCAGCCCTGACAAGGGCTGGAGCAGTTATAATCCCATCTTAATTTGGCAACTTTTGTAAAACACATAAAGGGCCCAGGGCCACCTTTGGTCACCAGGACCCGGTGACCATATAGCTTCCACCTCCTGCCAGGGTTCTGTGGGCTGCTCCTCTCCCTAGGAATTCCTCCAGCTGTCAGGATCTGATCACTCACCTTCCTGGCCCCCAGGCACTGCTTTGCTGAGCGAGTGAGACGCAACTGTCTGAGCCCTTGCCCTTCTGTGTTCCTTCTCCTATCATCCTCTCCACCTACCTGGTTGCGGTGCTAGGGAGAAGGGGACTCTGTGAGAAGAGGGAGGAGTCTCCAGACTAAAAGCTGGGAACCTTTATGGGGAAAGGAGTTTGAGGTAGGAAGGATGCCTGATCCCTTCCTGACCACCATTATTACCAAGTGCTGCTAGCTTCACTTAGGGCACCATGCCTGCAAAGGCACTGAAAGGCTCAGCCTCATTGGCCCAAACCAGAGCAAGGCAGGGGCCTGGGTGGGAAGGAGCCCGGGAAGCGTCAGGTGCCCGCCTGCTTCTCTTCCCTCTTTTTTCCCCTCCCCATACTGTGGATTGCGTGGGGGTCTTTTCCATCTCCGTGCCTGGCTTCTCACCACCATCTTCTGAGCGTGGTGGCTTGATATAATCACCATGACAACTGCAATCTACGAGCATACACATAATAGAGATGAAATAGACAAAAGATTAGCATGCCATGAAAAGTACAATAAGTTTCTTATTTAGCATTTAGATAACTGTCTTTCCTTCGGAGCAAGCTTCAAAGTTGAAGCCAGTTTAGACCAAGAGGATTAATTCTTTCTCCCGCATGCTTCATTGAATCTCTCATTACCAAACTTTGTCTGTATTGATGTAAGATTTGATTGAAGATTAGAGCATTTAGCAAATCTTGCTTTTCTGCATGTATCAGGTCCTTTCAAGCACGGATCGCAGTGCCCAGTGGTCAATACCCTTACTTTTATCCAGTGTCTGCTTCATTTAAACTTAATCAACTCCATCAACGAACTGGAACAGGGAAACGTCCCTGCGGTAAGAATGTTGTGCTTTTGTGGGATAATTCTTTGCTCTTTCCCGATCCGTTGCCATTAAACCTAAAATTGCACTGTGATGAACTTTTTTTTTTTTTAATCAATATGATAATGACAATTGGGCCTGAACACTCTGGTAGGACTTAGACTACAGCTGAATCTGGCTTCCATCACCAAAACAACTTCTGGTCCTACGATAGTCTGCCTCCTTTTGTGTGGCTTTAATACCTTTTCTTCCCTGACATTGAATATTGCTCAAGCTGGAAAATGATGCATCTTTGTAGGGAAGGCTCATATGTCACAGCCAGAAAGTGAAGCAGACCGATTGGTTGTGTGAATTATCTGACTTGCTGCAGTGAATTATTTGCACTGTTTCCCTACCTAGTCAACAAGTTCCTGAGGTATAGTAGAGATCCATCAAAACTGACAGTCCGCATGTGAAGGCTTTACTGTGTAAATCTGGCACACTCATCCTGGCCATGCCGGCCCTGGCATCTGTATATCATTTTTATACTGCTACCAGTAGAGCAATTTCAAAAGTATTTGCAAGGAAAATGCGTGTCCCCATCTGTTCCTAGAAGCATAAATGTGCCACCTTCAGAGGATTTTCACTGGTAATCATATCTTTAATGATCAACAGACTAGTGATATATATTTTTCCATAAAATGGGGTTTTCTTCACTTTATTGTGATTGGCTAGAATAAATAGCTTTTCCATATGTTAGGGGGATAAAATATAAGATTAGCAGAGGTGGTTTGTTGGATAGTAAACAAAAGAAACAATTCATTCCAAATAATCTTTGAAAAGAAGCAATGACAAAATTAAGTTGCAATAACAAAGCATCTGAGGCCCCACATCAGAAAACAGACCTTGTTCCTCCTTGGAAAAGGAGCCATTTAAGAGCAGAAAGTTAGAGACTTCTAGAGGACTCTGGTGGCTTATTTTCATGAGGCAGGGGAGGGAAGGAGCAGGGTAAGAAGGAGAGGCTAGAATAATACTTATTTGTTCTACTTCTAAGGTCATATTTCCTATCCCTTTATTTTTAAAATTTCTCAAATTCCCTTCCCTTTATTTTACCTGCTATTTTCCCGTCTTCACTGCGGCATCCTTGGTAAGTTGGTGGGTGGTGTGTTCAGAAAGTAGGAAATGCCAACCCTGCTGAATTTCTCTTCAGGCCTACAAGGAGATGGGGATTTTTCATGTGCTTAAAAAATCAAAAGGCTGGCTCCCTCCCTGGTAGATTTCTCTTCTCCCATAGAAAAGGGTGACTTTGGAGAGCCAGGCACAGTACCTGTCTTTAAGTGAAATTCCAGAGCCGTGCAGAAGGTACCTGAAGATAGCCAAGACCCACCAGAAAACCCCCAGGAAGTGTTCTTAGCAATCTAATCCCACCTGTATAGGTTACAGTCCAAAGATACAACCAGGCCCTGATCTGCCTCCCCCCACACACCCATGCATGTATTCACACTCAGCACCCAAGAGGTCCTCCCTTTTCAAATGCAGACACTCTTAGTTCTGTAGACACTGTTAGCTCTTGGGGAAATTTGGAAACTTCTCCAGGATCTCTGTGTAGAGGTTTCCACTGCCTGCTCAGGAATCTCCAATTCTATTTTGTTTCCAGGGTTGGGAATCTCCTGTTCCATAAAGGACTGACAGTTGTAAGATGCCTGAATCTGTCTAAACAATGTCTTCAGCCTTCAGGCTCTCCAGAAAATAGGTGTAGAGCTGTTCAGACCTGTTTTCTATAAGTCAAGAATTGAGAATGAGAAGTTGGTGTGGGGGGTTTCCCTCTAAACATTGAAAATAAGACCAGTAGTAGGTTAAGTGTTGATTCTTTATTGTTATTTTTCTCCCCTTGGGATAGTGGGGGGAAAACTCTATCTTTTCTGTATGTGTTACCCACTCCATCCCCATAGTCCGTAGAAATTTTTTGCTCTTTCTGAATGCATACTGTTCTCACCGCAGCAGGAATGTATGGGTATTAGTTTGAAAATTGGAAATGTGGTGTTTAGGCTGGTCCCAAGCAGAAAGTCTACTAGCATCTTAGACCTAACTTGTGTGAACTTCCTGGCCCCAGTGAGGCTTGGGAACACTGACAGAAGTAGAAAAATAGCTCACCCAAGTCTCTGGCCAGAAGAAGATCAAAAAACCACCATCAAAAGATTTTCTTTTAAAATTTCCCCTTAATTGTAGAAACATAATCTTGTAGGCTAGGTTGCACATAGGCAGGCATAGACTGTATAGGATTTACAGGTAGATCATATTTTGCCTGATCTGAAACCAGATTTGCTGTAGTATTGCAATTAAGACTAAAAGAAAGGGAAGTCACGCTTGTAGTTGCCACACTGTATTGTGATTACACTGCAGATCTGCAGTCTTCAATGAATTTGCTTGCCACAAGGAAATTCTGGCATGTGTTGTATATGAAACAATTTACACTCAATTCAAAAAATTGAATTTCTCAATTTCTGTGTATTTTAGTTTGAGACCCATTTTGCATTGAATTTTTCTATGTTGTTTTCATGAAATAAAAAAAACAACTGATTTTATGTGGGAGAAATAAATGTGTAATGTTTGCTCCTTTCATTGTCCAGGAGGATGAGGCTGTTACTACTACAGGTGGGACATTTCCCACTGTTTCCTCCTGTGCCCAGGGGTCCTGTGTAATGCACAGGCCTCTGCCAGGAATGTTGCTGTCCCCACCGGAGTAGAAGACCCTGCAGAGCTTACCTTTGGGGCTCGTGTTGGCTGGGGCTCTGAGCCATAGAACTGCAGGCATCCAAGTTTTTCCTAAACCCCAGATTGGAGCCATTTGCAACACATAGTCCTTTACTGCTTGAGAACCACAGACCCTCTACACATTCATATCCAAAGCAGAGATGGAAGTCTTGGCAACTATAGGACAAGTATTAAAATTTGAAAAACAAATATACTGAGTTCAGGATGAAAATTACCTGCAGCAACAATGCTGTCTCTTTCCCTGCACAGCTTCACTGCCACCAAGCAACCTCATCAGTTTAGGCTTATTTCACTGAAAATGTACTTAATTCCAGAAAAACTACTAGCTATCTATATGTAACTATTATTTGTTAGTCAATTTTATGACAACCCTCCTACCTTAGAAGAAAATATTGAACCTAAACTCTAATTCAGATATTTGAAAACATATAATAAAGTGTTAATTTGCATATAATCTCTCATGACTGTAATATGCATAGTATTTGTTTTTTTAGATAAAAGGGTGGGCAGGCACTGTGGTGTTTTGAAAAGAGATTCAGATTTTAAAAGTAAGCTTAAGGAAATGCCTGTTTTAAGGAAAATAAACTTAACTGATCGTTAAGACAAAGTGAACTATTAAAATTTAGTGTCAGTTAACAATCTTTATGTTAAATTACTGATAAAATGCCAAGGTGTTTAAAGTTACCAGAAAATGGGGCGCCTGGGTGGCTCAGTCATTAAGTGTCTGCCTTCGGCTCAGGTCATGATCCCAGGGTCCTGGGATCAAGCCCCACATCGGGCTCCCTGCTCGGTGGGAAGCCTGCTTCTCCCTCTCCCACTCCCCCTGCTTGTGTTCCCTCTCTCGCTGTGTCTCTGTCAGATAAATAAATAAAATCTTGAAAAAAAATAAAGTTACCAGAAAATGAAAAATTTGGAGAAATTGAAGTTTCTTTTTTGTTCTCCCTTACTCTGAACAGCATGCTAGTAATACTTACCGTCACTCTTGGCTTTTATTAGGAATTTTCATCTCGTTCCAGAAGGAAATACCAGAAAAGCAACTTGTATAGTTAATAGCCTCAGTCTAAAGAACATTATTTCTAGGCAGAATTTCTACAGTCACCCTTGTCTGTGAACACTTGTTAGGGGATGTGTTTTAATTTTAGGTCAGAACAACTGGGTTAAGATGTGGAGAAGACCCTTGAGTTTTCCCTATGGGGGAAGAGGGAGGAGAAAGGAAGCTAAATTAGTTTTACTGCTCTGCAAAAGGACTACTCCAGGCAGCAGTGGTAGGGAAATTTGGGTTTCTAAGCAGTGCTCTTCTGCCAGTCCATTTCTTAACACTCTTGGAGCCATTCACCTTTGGAGCAGGTTGCAGGTGGAGGCCCCACGCGAAAGGCTAGGGCTGCTGTGGGCGGCGTTGTCTGCGGTGCATCCCTCCCTCTCCTCTGCATATTCTCCTCTCTGTCGCTTTTTGCCCAGACTTAACGTACCTTCTTCCTGGATTCCCCTCCCCCACCCCAACGCAAACGCCGAGGGACCCGACAGCTGTTTGAAGAAGGCTGCTGGTCGCCCAAGGAGGGGCGGGCGCTCTCGTCCCCTCTAGGCGTTCAGGATCCGGATTTAGGCTCCTATCGCACCCCTCCGCGCCGCTGGACGAAGGGGCATGTCATCTGGCTGTTCTGGGCCGCGGCCTCCGGGGCACGTGACCCGCGGACAACTACGGGAACCGTCCGTGGGTGACGCCAGGCG